CTGTTTTAAACTTAAACATTTCATAATGAAAAAGGGGTCAATTCAAAGAGTTGATATTCACAAACATACACGTGCACTTCACAACAGAGCTTTAAAACACACAAATGAAACAAAACCTGACAGAACTGTGACGGGAAATAGGCATATCCACAATCGTGGTTGAGATTCAACACCCTTCTCAGCAAGTGACAGAACAAGCAGACAGGATGTCAGTGAGGGTGCAGGAGGCTTGCACAGGACCCTGAGTTGGCACACAACTGTCTACCCAATAACTGCAGGACACACGTTCTTAGGTGTGCACAGAACACTCCCTGGGGTCAGCCACATCCTAAGCCATAGAACAAATCTCAGTATATATTGAAATAATGAACCTTTTATAAGCATATTATCTCGCCAAATCAGAATTAAACTGGAAGTCAACGACAGAAATATGTCTAGAAAGCCTCCAAATATTTCAAAATTAAACAACAAACCTCCAAAAATCTCCCATGAGTCAAAGAAGAAATCACAAGGCCGATCCGGGAATACTTTGGACTGAATGAAAATGGAAACAACACACGGAACTTAGCAAGAGGCAGCTAAAGCAGTCTCTTAGAGGCAAACTTATAGCTTTAAACCTGAAGCTTCCGAATTTATATTAGAAAGTAGGTGACAGTGGATTTGACGAGTGTTTATGGAACTGGGGGGGACATGTCAGACTGCCTGGAGCTTCATGGGCCTGTTTTGTGGCTTCCAAAGCCCACACGCCTTTTCCTGGCCCAGGCTCCATGTCTGTCAAGTGTGTTCGCCGCATCGTGTCACGACTCTGGAGTCACAGCTGTGAACTCCTGGTTTGTTTGAGCCCATTTCTCATGCGCACCCACCAGATGCTGCGGCTGGAGGAGGGTCGGCAAGGACAGGGGCTGAGGAGAGCGGTTCTGGGTGAGCACTGGGACTATGGAAAGGAGGATAAACGCTACAGGGTTTCTTTCTCTCAGGGAAGACAAGCAGAAGCAAAAGCAAAAGGAACGTCACAGGCTGGCCATTTTTCACTCTCCAGTCTCGAGGCTGAGTCGCCACATCAGTGGAGTCACCCCCTCCTCCCACCCCTGTGACCGCTTCCTTTCCTTTGTCTGCAGAAGCCACTTCTGTCCCCCATCCTGTGGGTTGCTGCACCAGCAGGAAGGTGGCTGGAGCTGCTGGGAGCTGGGGGACTATCCCCTCTGCCCAGAGTCTGTGGTGTGTGCAAAAGCCGCCCAGAGCCTGCACAGCTTGGCCCAGAAGGCGTGAGCGCAGCCCAGCCCGACAGGCAGTTATCTGAGGCCGTTTCAGATCTGCCCTGCCAGCAGGCCAGCTGCCAAACTCATGGTATCTCCTACCTGTATCTATTGTGCTGAGATTGGAGCCCCCTGACAGCTAGTGACAGGGCCACACGTTGCTGCACTGCAGGACGGAGCGCGTCACTAGTCTGATGATTGCAGTTATCTGGGCCCTTAAGGTGTTGCACAGCGGGCCATGAGCTCCCCGAGTTCATGTGTCTGTAGGAACATGCTGTCCTTGTCACAGGGAGGCACTTCCTAGGGTGAGTTCAAGTTCCAGAAAACACCTGAGCTGCAGGCCTGGCAGTCACAGCCACCTGCCTCAGGGAAACCCTGTCACCATCACTGGGAAAGTCACCTGCAGAGTGCCTGGGGAGGAGGGCCAGGGCCTCCGTGGCAGTGACCTATCACCTCCTCGTAAACCTTCCAATGCCCCTGCGTCACCTCTGGCTGGTCTGCGGCTTCTGCTCCTGCTAACGGGTCCTGCAGGAAGGCGGCGTCTGGGCACACTCCCCCCGGTTTCTTTCCTCCAGACTGCGGATTCTCAGATTTCACTACTCTGATTTTTTTTAAATCACGTATCACATATATTCTTCTCTTTTAGCACCCTAAGTCATAAATCACTAGAGTAACCAGTTTTTTCCCTCTAATTTTCTTATCTGAAAATCCCTTAGATAAATCAACTCTTTCCACACCTGCCAAAGATAAGCGATCCCAAAATGGTGTCACGGCACCTTCCTGCAGCTCTGCCAGCTTTTCAAATGTCCTAGGTTGCACCGAAATCCATTTTGACATTGCAAAACATGCTGGCTTGGAAACTTCGTCACCACTGTGTTGGCAAAATGATCAGTGAGACCCACCCACAGCACGAGCTGTCTCTGAATGTCACTTCACATGGTGGGACTGACCATGACACCCCAGGCCCTTGCCACAGCCATCTCCTCGCCACATGGCTGCTTTCTGCGCAGAGGTGCGGCCACTGGGTGAGAGCACATGCACCTGGCCCTGGCCTCTGAATGAGACAGCACTGCATTTGGGAAATGTAGTGATAGCAGGTCAGCAGGAAGCGCTGTGACAGCAGGAAGTGCTGTGCTTCCGTTTTTTTTGGTCCCTAAGGACGGCAAATCAGCTTGGTCGAATGCTCTGTCCTTCTGTGTTTGGACAGGTCTGTCGTTCCTGGCTGCCGGTCTCACCGAGTACCAGGCACACGCACACCCTTGCCTGTGCTTCCGTTTCTCCGCCACACGCCCACCCCGGCGCCTTTCAAGCAACTCTAATTGGACAGGTCCCAGGTGGACTCTCTTGTCAGCCCCGTCCTCTGAAACCAACTATGCACCCCCACTCCCAAGAGGCCTGTGAGCCGCAGGCCCTCACCCCAGGCATGAAGTCTCCCTCCTCCGGGCAGGTGGCTTCCAGGCGGCCCCTCCCTTCACATCAAGGGACTTGCCTCTCCGTCCTCACTTCCCACTGTCCAATCCCAAACACAGTCCCCACACCCCAACCATGCTCTTCCTGAGACGCTCTATCCTTCGCGCGCCCTCCAAGCCCTGCGTCGTGCTGTGAGGAAGTGGGGGCAGGAGCTGATGGCGCCAGGAAGGAGTCGAAGAACAGACTTGAGGAGAGGGATGGGCCTGCAGGTGGTGGGCCACACAGTACAGGATGCTGAGGGCCAGGCCTGGCGAGGGGAGCAGCAGGACGCCAGGAAGGCCACTGGACATGGGGACCGAGGAGCGAACAGCGAAAACACAAGCGTTGTGTTTATAAGAAGAAAAGAGCATTTTGTGGGAAGTTGGTGCACCTGTAGATAGGTAGGTCTGTTCAGTGAGGCAGATTTTCTGCAGAGTGGGGCGGGGCCTACATGCAGAGGGAGGGCAGGCGACCCAGAGCGCGGAGCCCAGCCCACTCTGGAGGCGACACTGCGGCCCCCAGTGCCCAGGCCCGGCCATCTCCCCCACCCCAAACTGCCGCTGGGGGAGATGGGGAGGCCCTGGCCTCCCCGGCCCTGTCTCTGCTGAGCATCCGAGTGACAAGGGCTTAGTCAGGCCTCTAGATGTGTGATTCGGAAATAAGCCAGACAAGAACCCAAAGGGGACAGAACACAGCACAGGACAAGGACAGGGGGTCCTCTTGCGCCCCTGCAAGGCAGTGGGGGCAGGTGGCTGGCTCCCGGGGTACCATGGGCGCCTAGCTCTGCGCCTTCCATTCCAGAGGCCGACACAGCAAGTGGGGAGTCACTCACCCCCGGGAAGTGGACCCCAACTTACTCGAAGTACTCGGCGGCAGGTGTGGTCCGGAAGCTGTCGTTGAGGCCTGAGCCGTCGCTGGCGTTGCCGGGGTGGGCTTCGGAGCAGTTGGGGCTGTTCCAGGTGTTGTTGCAGTGGGTCCAGGGCAGCTCCGCGGCGAACGAGGAGAAGAAGTAGCGCAGCGCCCAGGCGATGATGACGTTGTAGAAGAAGCCCACGTACAGCGAGATGAGGATGACCGTGAAGCCCACGCCTGGGGCGGCGAGAGCACAGCCGCCGTCAGTGGAACAGCCCTCCCGCCTCCTACAGCCGTTGTCAACAGAACACCCTCCCCGCCTCCCACAGGAGACGTCGCCTCCCTGTGCCGGAGGTTCACCTCCGCCCTAACGCCAGGCGATGAGACGTGATGGGGCAGATACCAGACTTTAGGCCGTGATCTCAGAGCGGGGCTTTCTCCTCCAAAACCATCTGTGTCCATCTACATCCACCCAAAGACACTCAGAGTGCCTCTGAAGGGTCATCAGGGCCTGAAAGGCCAGTTAGGGCCATTGAAGGCCATCCGTGACAGTTCAGATATACCCGGGAATATGCGGGGTCACCCAGGGACATGTAGGGAGATCTAGGGCCACCCTGGTAAAACCAGGTCACCCACAGACATATAGAGTAACTAAGGGACACCCATGGCTATCCACTGCCACTCAGAGCCACTTGGAATCAAACGGGATCCACCAGGATCGCTTAAGGTCATGTAGGGCCACTGAGTCACCCTGGGTCACCATCAGAATCACCCACTAACACCATGGCCACCCATGGCCATCTAGGGACTCCCAGAGATACAATGCACCACTCGGTGTCAACAAAGGCCACCCCAAACCTTCAGGGTCACACAGAAACATTTAGGGCCACCCATGCCAATGGGGTCACTGAAGACCATCCAGGGTAACCCAAGAATACTCAGTGATTCCCAGAGCCATCCACAGTTACTAATAGTCACTAACGGACAACTGGGGTCCTCCACAGCCATCCGCAGCCACTTAGGCTCATCCAGGGCCACCCAGAGCTATCCAGGTCCACTCATGGCCCCCCATATCTACTCATGCCCCCTCAAGACTACCCAGGGCAAACAGAGTTGTCTGGGTTCACTCACAGCTACTTAGAGCCACCCGAGGTCACCCATACATAACCACCCAGGGTTTCCCAGGGTCATACATGACCACCCAGGGTCATACATGACCACCCAGAGTCCCCTAGGGTCATACATGACCACCCAGGGTCTCCTAGGGTGCCCTTTCCAGGATCACAAAACCTAAAATTTGGGTGGTGGGCAGCTTTTGGAGTTGTGTCATCCCGACTGGCAGGCAGTTAGAAGGCCTCCTCCCGTTGGTCAGGAAGTGTCTCCTTATTCAACGCTAGACAAGCACTGCCACGTTCCTACTGTGTGGTTAGTTTTATTAAGCTCCACGCAGCGTTATTTTCATGTCATTCCTTCTCAGCTTCGTTGATTCGTGTGGGTATAACTTTAACTTTCTTTATTAAAGCCTGGTGAGGTGCCGTGCTCTGCCGCGCCTGCTTGGGCTGGGGCAGGAGCATGTCTTCCAGTGCCTTTTGTCGGGGGAGTGGCATGGGTTGATTTTACGGGCACAAACCTTAGGAAAAGATATTTTCATGTTCAGGGTACTTCATTAAAGTTCCCTTCCTATCTTGAAAGTAAAACTAGAGGCATGAAAATAGATCTGTGTCTAAATATTAAACAGATTCAGTATCAGGAGAGGCCTAAAAGAAAGCAGGCCCTGGTACGTAATGCCTCTTGGAAAACGTGCTCAGAAGTGATGATGAAACAAAAACTGTGTCCTTTGGAAGGCCTTCTCCAGCGTAAAATTAGTCAACATTAAATAATCCTTATTGCAGTTTTGCCCACTGGGTTCCTTTAAGACAGAGGCTGGGTTTCGATTAACAGTGAACCTGCCCAGGCAGCCGTACTGTCGGGAAGCACATCACAGGAGGTTCGCCCTGGCAGTGGGCTGACTTTGGGTGCCTGACTTACAATCTTTTTAAGGTTAAAACTTTGTATACCAAATCCTTAGCTCGAAACTTTGGGAACTCAAAGAAGCCTTTGACCCAACATGAGTGCAGAGCCAAAGCCAGTATACTCTGAAAGGTGGACGTTCCCTCTGGTCCTTCTGGAACACTCTGCTGTGTGTGGCCAGCACTCCATCAGCACAGGCCAGGTCTCTCGACTTTCACAACAGAGTGACAAGGTCCCCACAGGACGACGGGGCTCCCAGAGCACGTGGGCTGCACCGTGAGCAGCACAGCGTACCAGCACCAGGGCTTCTCATCCAAGAGCACTGGCCCCCTGCCCCGCGCTGCTGTCCAGCTGCCCTAAATGCCTGAGTAAAAGGAAACAATTCTCTAGGAAGGTGGTTGCGAGTGTCAGCTGTTTGTTTGGTTTCTCCAAGTTGTATTTTTCAGGACAGCAGAGCCTTAGAGAGCCGTGGGCCTGCGCCACTAAAGTGTAGCCTCTCACGGACCCTACCTTTACCGAGCTCCCCCTTAGTGTCGCTTAAGACCAGCCATACGAAACCCACTTTTCGTTTGCTATAGGAATGCTCTCACGACCGCTGTTCATTGTGTCATCATATACTCTAGATAAAGCTCCCCCTGATACGTTTCTTTCACCACTCATCGCCACCAGAACTGTGCCACGGAGGCGGCAGGCTCAATCCCCTCTAATATTTCCAATGAGAACGTGTTCCTCTACTGATTGACTCCCAGGAAGCTCAGGGCTAAACGCAAATGTCAGCCACAGCTCTTAACGTCCATTTCCTTAAATTTCTATTTTTCTTAATATTTCTATATTAACCTTGCGTGCCTTCCGTTTTGCTTTATTTTAAGCCACCTTAAATTTTTTTTCAGAAAGAGGGAGAGTTTGATAAATCACACTAAAATATTATCGACCACAAACTATCATAAATTTGTTATATTCGACAAAATCGAATGTTTCCATGGAATACGTAAAGTGGGGGGTGTCTTTGGCATTTTCCCAGACAAGTTTAAAAGGCGCATCCTCAGGCCTCAAGAGAGCTTGGCAGTTGCCCTGCACGATCCCCAAAGCCAGCTCACTCCAGAGCAGCCACAGAAGCTGGCTTAGGAGAGCGTGTCAGAAACAAATACTAATTTCAGGGACACCAGCTGGAGAAAAGACTCCCTGCAGCTTTCAGGTCCTCATAAGACTCATTGGCAGGTCTCGCTGAAGAAAACCGGAGAGCATTTCTCCCCTGCCAGTTTGGGGGTCTTCGGTATCTGGCTGGTGTGTGTGCGCATGTGCACGGTGCTCAGACCAGAGAGGAAGTGGGGAGAGAACGACAGTTCTGAGACCCCGCCCCCAGGACTCTGTGATGACATATCTGAAGGCCACCTGCAGCCTCTCCTGCCTCATGCCCACCCTCAGCTGGACAGACAGCACAGGGGACCGAGGATGAGGCCCGGCCTCGGAAGCAGCTCACCCTCACGGTGGACTTCACCGCCTGGCTTTCTTGGGTGGAGCTCGGCGCCAGCCCAGTGCAGGCAGAGGCTCCAGGCCAAGGGAGGGCAGCGAGCCGTCCAAATAGTTCGGCTCCAAATGCGGGGAAAGCTTCTACAGGGGCCGGGCGTGCCAGTCACCCTCTGAAGGGCTGGATGACTTTTTAGCTTATTTGCTTATTTAATGACTATTTTGGGCATTTTAATTGATATCTTCATTTAGCATGTGTTGCCCCTATTTCACGACACATGACAATATAGGCAATTATTACTTTTTTTAAAGACAAATAAGGAATGAGAAGGCACATGTGTCAGGGTAGCCAGAGAAACATGGTTTGCCTCACCTAATTTTAGGGGCACCTGAGCACCCTATGGATAAAACAGGACTTGAACATGTAGGAAATCACCTGCTAGGGATCACCGTTTGTTGGCATTAACGATTCAAGGTGTCTCTACTTGAAACATAAAGTCTGATGTTCTTGCCCTGATTCGTTTATCTCCTGGACGAGCATGGCTCTGTGCTGACGGCACGCAGCCCAAGCTCAAAGCTGACTCTGTGGCTCACGTGCCCTCTGTCCCGGGGTATGAGCTGGGTGACCAGCCTCCAACCGAGATCCCGCCCACAGGGGCCACACGGTGCTTCTCCCTGTGGCCACGCTTAGTCCCAGCTCAGCCCTCCACACCGACAAGCTTCCAGGACAGGACAAAAGCTGATGCGGGTGTGAGAGCGTGACCGTCAGGCTGGGATGTGGAGTCAGTCGCTGAGCTGAGTGATGTCTGCCGACTTCTTCAGGTTGCGAAGTTGCTGGGAGGTGGTGAAATGCCCCCACGCATGGATTGAGCACCTCTAGAATGGGGTGCTGACAGTCAGATTTTCTCTATTGACCCAAATTCGTTAGGCTTAAGTAACACCTTGGAATCCTTAGAAAGCGTTTCCTGACAGTTTATAAGCTGCACCATAACAAATCACTCTGGAGCTTTGTTGGAGAAAACGGTGGCAGGCGCACAGCTGGAAATCAGCTGTCACTGGCTGGCCCCAGCCCCATGGGGCCATTTCCTCTCCTGCAGCCCCTTGTCTGTCACAGGTGCTCAGGAAAGAGGTGGGTTTACTCTGATTTGGTATCAGACTCCCTGGTGGGGGGTGGGGGCACAGGGTCTTGTCACATAAGTAACGGTGACAGACATTCTCTGGACAAGAAGGACGTGTTTCTGGAAATCCAGAGATGCAAACTGGTGTCACCACAGTCTGTGTGGCAGAAGGCAGCATCGCTCCTCAACATTTCCCCAGATGGTCACTTAAGGATGGACAGGCTTAATTTCCGACTCAGTTCTTTAATGCTATAAACACTGATCACAGTGTAAGCTCATCACAGCGCACATCCGTGGGACACATTAGCACTGCCCAGCAGAGCCTGGGGAACACGATTAGCTCATTTGTGTCTTGGACGGTTAGTTTGGGTTCATTGCCTTCGATGGTACCAACACCGTGCCAGTACACGGATGCTGCAATGTTTAAATCGACAGCTGCGCCCACCACCAAGATGTGCGTGGTGCCTTCAGGTAGCTGCACAGTCCTCCACTGAGAATTAATGTTGGCACCAGAGGCAGGTCTCAGGCAACTCATTTGAGCTTTGACGTCTGTGTGCAAATCACACAAGGGGACAGCCAGCACCTGGCACCTGAACCCAGAGGCGTCCGAGTCTCCCTCTGTAACTCCACTGCAGGGCGGGCCCATGAATCATTTAACTTCCGAAAAACTTGCTAGTGCCTTCAGATTCACCGAGCAGGCCATCAGGCAGGAATAACGCACAGCAACTGCAGAGGCCGTCACGCTGAGCCAGTCTCAGTGTTTCCATTGCTGCGAGGGTGATTTTTCTCCCCGTGGAGACCAACCTCAGCAGCTGTGTGATGTTCTCACCCCGAAGGCCAGATCAGTTGCTGTCTGAGCACACACCCACTGACCCGTCCCTACAGCACCCTCAGAGACCTGCTGGGGCTTCTGCTCTCCCCAAAACACCATTTTTTCAAGAACTTCTGAGAAAAGCCAAAGCCTGATCTTTAATGGCCATTTTCTTAATGAAACGAGCTGTCTGAACCAGCCACCTTCCTGGCCTCTGAGGAATGGCCCCCGAGTCCTCCCTGAACCCTCAGCGCTTGAGGCCGTGTTGGCCCAGTGAGGAGGCAGAGAAGTCTGGGACCGACCCTACCCTGCCCATGACGAAGGGACAAGCCCTCTCATCTCAGTGCCTGTGTCTCCAATGCAGAGATGACACAGTGCGCGCCTTCCCTTGGGGCTCTAAGGAGGATGGAGTGAGGTGACCATGGGAGCGTCAGTCACCAGGACTCAGCCCGAGGTTTGCCTCATGGTGCTGTGGCATCACAGTAGTGACCTGGACGGCTCAGTGAATAACTAGACAGTTAGAGGCTAGATAGTAGATAGATAGATATGATAAATAGGTGACAGATAACCAAAAATAGATGATAGATAAATGATAAATAGTAGATTGACAGATGATAGACTGATAGATGACAGAAAGCTAGATGATAGATGATAGGTAGATGATAGATTGATAGATTGATAGATAGATGACAGATAGATACATAGATGATAGGTAGGTAGATGATAGGTAGGTAGATGTAGATAGGTAAGTAGACAGATGATAGATAGTGAGGAATGAAGTGAAGAAATAAAATGGAGTCATTATAGTCAAGCTGCTAATTTACTAGGATCAAGTAGGCTGATATGAGGAAATGATTCTATTCCTGTTCTAACTCTCCTGCGAAACTTTTGGATTTTCTAGTCCTGCATCAGTGGCTGGATATACATCAGACCTCCTGATAACCTTCTGATTACGCCCTGAAGGGCTAAGGATAGAATGTCCAGGTTACCCAGACCACCGGACATCCGGCACCCAGACCACCGGACATCTGGTACCCAGACCACCGGACATCCGGCACCCAGACCACCGGACATCCGGCACCCAGACCACCGGACATCCAGAGGATCACCATCTCAGACCAGCCCAGAGGCCCAGAATGCAGGACTGATTCTTCTCAAGAATGTAATTTTTACTATGAGATCCCTCATCTTTTCTTCTTCAGAACACTCTGGGTATTGCTTAGTTGTGTTTCCACTTTGCAAACCCTAAGACCCTTGAATAAATCTTTATCATTTATTTCTAGCTGAAGCTTCCTGATTTCATTTGTGTTCAGTCAACACTGAATAGATGATAGATACAATACACAGATGAGATAGATAGATGATAGATGGTTGATAGATGGATGATAGATGGGTGATACAGATAGGTAGAGGATAGCTAGATAAATGGATAAATTGATGATGGATACATAGTTGATAGGTTGGATGGATGGATGGATAGAGGTATGGGTTGACTTGTACCCCTCTAAAATTCATGTGTTGAAGTCTTAACCCCGAGTACCTCAGAATGTGACCTTATTTGGAAACAGGGTTTTTATAGAGGAAGTCAAGTTAAGGTGAGGCCGCCAGGGTATACCCTAGTCCAATATATCTGATGCCCAATACAGGGGAAGTTTGGGGGAAGACGAAATGAGGACACTGGGTGAAGACCGTCATCTACACATCCAGGAGAGAGGCCTGGAACAGATTCTCTCCCACAGCCCCTAGGAGGAATCAACCCTACCAAAACCTTAACTTCAGATTCTAGTCTCCAAAGCTGTGAGGTAATAAATGTCTTTCGTTTAATCCACTCAGTTTGTGGCACTTTGTACAGCAGCCCTAACACACTAGTACAGATGGACAGAAAGAGAGGTGATAGATGACAGATGGGTAGATAGATGGAGGTCTGATTTCATCTACCATCTTAACACTTTGACAAAATGAGATCCCTAATGAACTGTGGGTGGCTTCACCTGGGAGCAAAGGAATACATTTTTGAATCCTTGGTCATTACAGATGTTTAGAGTGGGACAAAAATTCAAATGGTGTGTCCACATGTGTGTCCATGTGTAGCCAGCCAGCAAAGCAGGACCACGTGTGCACAACGTGGGTGGACCTGCTTGGAAAGGTCTAGAGCAGCCCCCACCCTCCCCCACCCCTGGTCCGTGCCATGCCAAGTCAAGGTGGCATCCCCACCATTACCTTTGAGGACTGGGCAGATCTTCCAGACTCCGGCAGCCCCCTCCCTGTTGAACTGTCCGAGGGCTAGCTCCATGTAGAAAAGTGGCATTCCCGCAATGACCATGAAGAGCAGGTAGGGGACCAGGAAGGCGCCTGTGGGACACGGCAGCATGGTCATCGGAGGCCTCAAGGGCTCGGCCATCCCCACTAACCACACGAGCCTTGGCCGTGACTGACCCCAGTCCCATCTCTGTGTCTCCTGGAGCTCCCTGCCTGGCTAACCTCCACAAGGGAGCCACAGGCTGGGATGGGTGGGCCTCCTCCCGCTGTGTCCAGCTCCACTGCCATCAGGCTCAGACATATCCCTACTGAAGCCCCAACTGCCCCCACCCCCAGCTGTGGCATCAACTCCAAAAGCCCAGCAGATAAGGACCTGCCCGCCTGGCTCTGCTCCTGGCGCTGCCCCTGCCTGCCTCCCTTGGCCCCTTCTTGCTCCTCTGTGGAAAGCCCACCCCTGTTGAATTGTGACTCCTCTGGGGTCTGTGGGCCACCTCTGACCCTGCGTGGGTTCCGCCATCCATCCCAGCTCCCAGTATTTGGAGCCTGCCTTGAACAGGGGCTGGGGTCCCTCAGAGAGGCACCCTGTTCCTTCTGGAGCTGCACCCTGTCCCAGCACACAGCTCAGGGCCCCGCACTCGGCCTCCTAGGGCTGTGCCTTGGCCTTCTCCCTGGGATGGGAACAGGGAGGCCCCACAGCCCTGCCTGTCCTTGGGCCGCTCACTGTACCTGCTGAGGTGCCAGTCTGCTCCCCTTGAGCTGGGCGCAGTAATGCCAACCTACTCCTGGGCGTGCCAGGACCCCCCCCCCACCGCCCCTAGACTGTCATCTGAAGCCCTCAGTCTGCGCTGTGACCAGCGAGGCAGGGAAGCGGCAGGCAGGGAGGCACCAGGAGGGTGGGCATGAGCTCCAATTAACTGGCTTCTCAACTTGAGTTTTGGGGGTGATCCTGCCCTGTATCTTAGTTTTCTGCCTCAAGTCCAGAGACAGTGGTGGTTGAGTTCGGGGGAAGTGGGGGGTGGGGTGGGGACAGGGACATTTCCAGGGCATCTTCAGCTACCCAAGCTCAACCCTCTGCCCACTTTGTAAGCACCCTTCTGTGGGCCTTTGAGAATTTCCTTTCCAAAGTGAAATCATCTTTGGAAACAGAAGGCCGAGCCATGGTGCCTCCAACCGCTAACTCCTGCTTTCTGTTCTCCTGGCCTCGCCGCCCTCAACTGAGAAGCCCAGACACAGTGAGGTTTCTGAACCCTAGATGGTTTTTGTGATACCCTTCTGGGCGGTCTGTGCCCGCTAACGCTAAGAAAACAAGGCTATCTCGCCAGAGCGCGTGCATTCCTTGAGGGCACTGCCTCCACTGCCAGGGTTCTAGCCCACAGGAGCACCCAGGATGGCCGGTGGGGACTCACCCCCGCCATTTTTGTAGCATAGGTAAGGAAAGCGCCAGACGTTGGCCAGGTCCACTGCAAAGCCGATCACCGAGAGGAGGAAGTCTATCTTCTTGCTCCAGGTCTCCCGGTCCTGGGTCTCCACGGGGCTTTGCGGGGCGTTGGCGAGGGTGGAGTGGGTGAGCTGCACCCCATTCTGCTCCTTGACCAGCACAACCTCCATTGCCCTTGGGCACATGGAGTTGGGCTCCTTAGCTGGGGCCACTGCGGAAGACATCAGTGCCACTGGGTACTGGCTCCGTCTACTCATGGGCACGCCGCAGTCTAGGATTCTGTGATTTTCCCTCTTGGTCTTCAGCCGGCTTGAAAGATAAACACACAGGAATGCATGAACTTAGCAGCCAGAATGCCAGTGGCAAGAGCAGAGATCCCAGCACTCACAATCTCTCCTTTGGGGGCAGAGCAAACACATTCCGAGCAGTTATGACGACATGGCAGGGCTGAGGGCGACAGGAGATGAGCTAGTTCTCCTGAGGACGGGGGAAGACAAGCTGTGGAAACCGAGCACGGACATCTGCTTTGCCCCCATCCCCCACTCCCTTCTCCATTCCCATCAAAGTGCAGGGCTCGTGTGGTCTGGAATTCTGCTTTTAACAACAACGAAGCAGGGAGTAATCTCAGTCTTCAAACCGCATTAGACACCAAGCCCGTACAAGAGCGCTCAGCTATTCTTTGTACTAAAATCAGCCACAGGAAGGAACGTTTAAAGATAACGTTTACAACAGTTTCTTGGAAGAGTGCCGGTAGATGCACGCCCACCTGGGGCCAGAGCTCACCAGCCCCACCTGATTTATGGGAGGGGCCCCCAGCTCCTGGACTTGGCAGCTTTGCCAGGGAGCTCACTTCCAAAACACTTCCATAAATGCCACCAGGGAGGACAGAATCCATTCTGGTCACAGCCAACAGCAAGCTAGGCCCTGGTGGCCAAAAGCAGCTTCAGATGCGACTTCTTACGGCCTTCCGATCCACCAGCACGGTTTCACCTGTCGCATATGTGTGCGTGCACACACGCCAGCGCGCACACATGCACTCACATGCAGTGGCCGAAGCAGAAACATCACAGGGTGGCAGCTGTAACGGGAAGTCTCCGCTGCATCCAAGTTTGAAAAACCCACAACGTAAGTTATTTTATGCACCGCTTCTCTGTGGCCCCTTCACCTTCGTGACAAACCCAGCAGCACGTTCCTGCCGTGTATGAATACCGCCCCCAGGAGGCTGCACGGGCTGCGGAGCAGGTGGGACCCGCCTGCGGGGGTGCAGCTGCAGGGGCTGGCGCTGCAGACGCGGCGGAGTCCGGCCTTTGCTCCGACAACGGCCCTTGCAGGCTGATCGGAGCCCCGCCTGCCAGAGGCGCCCACGCCCAGCATTTGGGGCGAGCCAGCTCACTCCCGGAGCTTCGGCCTCAGAGGCCAGGTTTGGGTACAGAAAGCAAACTGTGGCCTCTGGGAAAGCGTCTTTCCTCACTGCGCCCCCGAAGAGAAACGCAGCTGGCTCGGACGCTGTCTTCCCCTTGGCCGCCCCGCAATCAGCCTGCAAACCACAGAGCCCGCAGCTCAGCGCCCCCAGCCCCGCCTTCAAAATAAAAGATAAAACGCTGCGAGACGCAGCGTTGGTTCAGAAAATGCCCCGGGTCGGATCTGGGGCTGCTGTGCCCGGGTCCGCCTCGCCCTGCGTCGCGACCGGCTCATCACAGAGAATTCCGCCACCAACAGCCGCGCGCCCCCCGGTGCGCGCGCCGCTGGGAGGCCGGGGACGGGCGCCCCTGACCGCGTGGCCCGCACCCCGGCTCGCGCGCGCGTCTCTCGGCCACTGACCACCTTGGGGTCTCCAGCGGCACCGTCTGTCGGGGCGCGCCGTGCACCCCGGCTGTTAACGGCTCGTGGAGGCGCCGCCGTCTGCGGGACGCGACGCCTGCCGACGGCGCTCCGCCCGGCCCGGCGACCCCCGGCTGCAGCTTTCGGGGTCCAGCGCGAACGGCGGGCCCGGAGCACACGCGGAGGGCGCCCACGCGGGGAGTCGCCCACGGGGAGCCCCAGCCTTACCTGCCCGCCCGGTCGGCTCCGCACGGGGGTCCCGCAGCCGAGCGCCCGCGACAGCTCGGGCTCCGGTCGCTCTGCGCGCGGCGGTCCCGCCCGCCCGGCTCTTATCTCCCCTCCGAGGCCCGCCCCGCCCCGCCCAGGTGGGCGGGGGACAAGCCCGGCCGCGCCCCGCGCCCGCCCCCGGGATCTGGGCCGCCCGCGGGAGCCGGCG